AGGGAAATTTTACTTTTGCCACAGAAAAAAGAAAAAGGGAGAAGGGAGGAATTTATTAACAAGGCAGCAAAGGCCTGCTACCTGAATACTAGAAATGAGAAAATATATGCTTAGAAAATCCCCTTTTAGTGATTCCTTTATTTTACATTATTGACAAAAGACAGCTCACCATAAGCGTTTCCTATATGTTTTATGTCTCGAAAGCCAACAGTAACAGCCAGGGTTAGCACCATGAGGACCCAATTTATCTCGGGGATATATGTTTGACCATGGAGCCATCTTGGTTTATGCACAATCTTGACACGGGGAAAACACCCTAATGAATAGGACTGCTGGATGATTGAGAATGAGGCAAAAATAACAGCATGACTTGCAACAATTGCAGCAAATGTTCCAATCACAAGAACCGGCCAAAAAAATTTATCTGCAGAAGTCCCACAACCATCCTGTAAGAAGGATAACTTTGAGAGGCAAGATAATACTGCATTCACAGGCATGTCTTGATGTGATTGCAACAGAAGTTAAAACATGCAAGCATGCGTCTTCATTAATAAGGGAACAGGCTAATATTCACCGGCATGTCTTGATGTGATAGCTAGCTAAGATCATGTCTTATTGAACTGGTATTATTCTTTTTTCCAGTGACTGGGAGCTGGATGCCAGTCAACCAAATTTCATGCAGGTAAACAATGAGGTGTTCTAAAAAGTTCTTAAGAAACTTCCAAGTGTACAAAATCCTCATAAATACTAAACTCAGAAAGCTTCAAAACCTTTACAGGCACCTGTAAAGATGATAAGACTACAGTAATTCGTAGAAGCTATAACATAAGATGACTAGAGCTGGTAAAGGCTTACCTGGAATGGAAGCATAAAAGCTTATCGGTACAGCATAAAAATTCTTTGAAAGAAATGCAGCCTGACCCATGTATTGAAGCACTAGGCATGGATACACGAGACCAAAAAATGCAAACTGCATGGGAACAGGTTTTTAGAGTTTTTACTTGTAGCAACAAGCACTTTAATGAATAAGGTCATGAAAAACTGGCAGGAACTGCTCAAACAAAAAAAAGCCAAAAAGTAAAATAACTAAGAGAATTACATCAATCTACCCAGAGATCTATTAGTACTGACCTCAGCCAAAGTGACAACAAGGTCGTAGTGTAAATGAAATGGCAGAAGATGGACAAATTTACTTAGGATATCAGAAGGACAAAGTAAAAACTAATATTTTTGTCAAAGAAACTGCATAAGTCTAAGAACTGTTCAGCTAGAAATAAGCTAACAAAATAGGAAAATTTTCTTAATTAACAAATTGCTTATTAGAACAGAATTTGCGCATACACCCAGGCCCAGAAACCATTATCTCTCCTTCTCCAGCACACTTACAATCATCCCAAATCAAATCTTTGTCAAGGCCACATCAAAAGGGATATATGTAAATAAAGTTTACTTTAGTTCCCAAATATTCCCCATATTCTTTTGAAAATATTACACAGGAAATATATAATACATCTGATATTCTGACAAATTATGTGTAATATTTCTTCATCATTTTCTTATGCTTTGTACACAAACTCTAAAATTACTGTGTTTCTTTTCTGTAAAATCTGTATCAACCTTTTGCAAATTTTTTCATTTTCACTAAATTTGGAAGCTCTTTGTGAGGATAAATGACTTTGTTCAAGATTTTCCTGAACTTCAATGAAGAACTCAAAGTGTGAACAAATATTTTATTCTTTTAGCAATTCAAAATTAGACATTATATGGATTCAAAATATTAACTTTCAATTCTTCCCTCTTAAATGCAATTTATTCATATTACAAGATATTTTTACCAGACAAAAATTTGGTATACCACCATCAACAGCATTTCATAAAAGATAGGTTATTAAATGCTATGCTTCTTTAATCAACAGTAAGTTTTTAACCATAACAACTAAAGGAAAACTTTTTAACATGAGCTTTTTCCTTAGCACAAATGAATGGAGCCTAAGACAGTCATCAATCAAATATCTAACTAATGTGGGATAAGAATACCATGGATTAAACTTTAACAGAGCTGAATTTTCTATTCACCTTCCTTCTGTAATATGTCAGAAAAGAGAGTGTTACTTGATTAAGGCTAAGTCATCTTAAGATATTGCCATGATAGCAAACTGAAGTTGAATTTTCAATTGTTAAGGATTTTTCCCTCCCAGAAGATGAGAAAACACATTAAGAAAGTGCCCAACAAACATGCATGAGAATGCACTGTAAGTTTACAAAAGACTCAATAACAACACCCAATTAAGGATGCTCCTCCGAAATTAATGCGCGACAATTGTTTCAACATTATGGTCACGTTGAAAATCATACAAGAATATGACCCAGATACTGTATAAATTGATGGATCTTCGCATAAATATGTTTGAACCAAATTCAGGTAAGCCAAATCATAAAATTAATCATGTTGAGTTTAGGCCAATCCAGTAGACTGCTCAACTTGAAACCAACATGCAGTATAGCCTTTTGAGTAATGTTATATAAGCCGAATAAGAACACAACAAACCTATCACTTTAAATTTACTCATTTGAGGGAATAAGGTTGAGAAATATTGATAAAAACAAGTGATCAAGACAACAAATATAGAAGAGAAAAACACTTCCTTTTTTTTTCCAAAAAAAAAAAGAATAAAAGAAAAGAGACTTAATAACTTTTTAAACCTTCAAAATGTCAAACTTCTAGTATTTCTACATTTAACTTGATGTTACATGTTATGCAGGTTTAGTTTTATGGATATTATTTTTTTTCAAATAAAAGTGTGGATTGTGGTTTTATGGATATTATAATAAACTGTTCCTATATAAATGATTTTCTCTCAAGAAATCTTCAGAATGAAACTAGAGCTTTACATGGTGCATATGTTAAAAGGAAGTGCAAATCATGTTAAATACAGTCATTCTTATCAGCATAACCTTTTTGACACCACATTTCTAAAATACGTTATACGGGCCATATTTGTATCAACTTCATTTGAAATAACCTGTTCATCAGAAAATACAGACACCCTGTCAGGTTGTTCACAACTCAGTTGAGAAGTTTGGCAAAGTTACTTTTTTGTTATATTCAAGCATGACATGATTCAAACAGAATTTGTTAACATGAATTCCCATCCCAAGCTATGAGCATTACCAAATGGCCTTGGCCTGGTAAAAGACCAATTAATTGCCCACTCAAGATGCATCATTGAATATCTATATTGAGGATAAATTCCCTGCTTTGTCGGGTGCTAATCTATTAAATTTTGAATAAATCCTATGTGGACATTTGGCCGGGTGATCAGGTGAGCCTGAATGTTGCAAAAGAAAAAGGGTGGTAGAATTACCATACCAGTTTTCTGTCACCTGCAAAAGATTATATAGATACGGATACTGGGAGATTTAAGGTCTCAGAACTTAGCCAAAACAATAAAAATGGTTAGAATGTCATTCTCATGAAATTAATTTTTTTTTGTACAACTATTGATCTGCATACCCTTATTGATTTAGTTGTGAATTGGCCAAGTCCTGCAAAGATAGCTTCAGTTCCTGCAGATGACATGAAAAGCCTCCAATCATAAAAAGATATCAAGTGTTGGTTAACTAAAATCCAATACATTTCAAGTTTCAAATTACCAGTAATGCATAAAAGCACTCCTCCAAGAGAGATCCAACCATCTTTGCCTGTATCCCTAAAGAACATGTATATATAATGAGGAGAAAGGGCCTGGACTACTCTTGGATTCCACTTAATAGTATTGTAGATACCAGCAGCAGCAATGGAAAGTAACCATAAGATTACAATAGGAGAAAATAGGAAGGCAACCCTCGAGGTACCACGATGCTGCAGAACAAATAGCCCAACCAATAGAGCACAAATTATTGTAATCAAAATACCTGCAAGTTTACAGAAGTGTTACTAACTTCTAAAAATTAAAATGGATATATGAATTTAAAATGAAAGATTTAGTTCTTCACTTTGCTATTATTGTAAGTGAGCTCTTTTTCCTATTGAGGCTAAAAGAACATAATAGTATTGAACAAATCACAAATTTTCACTTTACTAATACAGAAATTAATATAAAAAAGATCATGCGCTTTTCTTAGTGTCTCGGTTTGCACCACATTGCTGTTGATTGTATGAATTCATACCTTATACTTCAAAAATACTTGTAACACTCTATATCTTCAGTTAGATCAATTTACTCCTTGTAAATATCTACAACTTAACTCTTCTACTAGACTTGCCAATATATTGGATCCAAAACATAAGTGTAATGCATGCAAAACCTTGAATTTAACTTTTAAATGAAAAATGACATATTATAAACATTGCATATCACCCAAAGCCTTATATCATGGAAAAATATAGAATTTTCAATAAAAACTTCTCTTTCTCCTGGTCATTTCCATCGATATGTTAGCACCACAGAAATACATCATCTCTTCTATCTATTCTTCTTTGTTGATTAGCATCACAGAAATACACCATCTCTTCTATCTATTCTCCTTTGTTGGCTGTGCTAGTAAATCTCGAATGTTTGCATAGTTGATTTTTTTCAGAAAACAAAGACCTCATTTTGTGTCTCAGAATCCATCATTTCATAATGGAGATCCTACAGATGTAAAGTAATAAATTAAATATATATGATTCTATGGTAGGTATCCAAAATATGGAGCCTAAATCGATACAATTGAAATTATAAGGAGAAAATTGAGAGAAAGGTCAAAAGAAGTGATGTTTTTTGTTAATTTCCCTTGCCAGTATCATAATCTTAACTTTTGGGCTCTGTCTTTTTCTATGAAGTTTTTGAAAGAATCTGAATGATGAGAAAAACTTGGTAGTATTGTGTGTATGCATATGCATGTTTATATGTATAAATACAGAAGAATATAAATAGACAACGCCAAATTTTCTTTTTCAAAGAAGTTCACTCACCATGGTGCATATTCTTTGATCGAAGTAGCAGCCCTTGAAGGGATGAACTGACTGGAAAAAGAAAGAATCTATCAGGCATTGGTATGAAAAGAGACAATTAGTTGAACAAAGAACTGTGATGAAGCACATGAAACAAAGAGCGCAATGACAACTGGGTATCCATTATATAAGGGATTGAAAAAGTAAAAGGAAGTAACTGCTACCTGAAATTGCTGGTGTAAGGACGCTAAGAGTAATAACAAGGGAAGTACCAAATAAAACCAAGAGGAGCAAAGCATGTTTGGAATTTTTATGTCTCTCAACAAGTCTTTTGAATGCAGAGGAATGCAAATGTCTATTTGAGTAACCCATGCGATGATAAGTGGAAAGCTCCTCATCAGCTGTATGATGATTGGGGAGCAGAGAAAACTTGGCGTGTCTACAAAGAAGCGAGTACAAAGCGAAAATTCCTCCTGCAAAACCCAAAGAGCATCAGCACCCACGAGAAGAAAATAAAGCAGGAAAAAAGAACCAATGACATCATCGAAAACCTTAAAAGTAGGCAGTTCTTACCTTCACCATTATCGTCAACAGTCAAGACAAGAATGATATACTTGAGCAGTGAAAGAAGAGTAAAAGTCCAGAAAATCAAGGAAAATGCCCCAAATATTACATCCTCAGTTTGATAGTGATACAAGTGGCCGGACAAAGCACACTTATAAACATAAAGAGGAGAAATGCTCAAGTCAGCAAACGCTATTCCAAAACTCTGATATGCTAAAAGGAGAACTGGTTTACGCTGGCTTGTTCTGTCAACCTGAGAAAACGAAGATACAGCCAATAAGTACTTTGAGCTGACAAATAGTTAAACTACGTACAATGCGTCGCCTAGAATAAAACTAAATAAGGCTGCATAAAATAATTTGTTAGGTATTGGAATTTCAAAAAGAAAAAAAAGAAGGTTTCGTTCAGAATAGAGGACATATTTTGCAAAATTTATCTGCTCTATCATGCAATTTTCATCCGTTCGTCAGACGATTAAATGAATCATTAGATTTAACAATTCGACCTAACATGTTAGGAGGTTTGATTCCGTAGGAAAGTAAAAAAAGAATTGATATCCATTTGGTCCTTAAAAGAAAAAGAATCGGAAGCGTTAGGGTTTTATGAATTGGTTAGTCTGAAAATGGGAAGGAAGGAAGAGGAAAGACGTACCATGATTGGGTGCGGAGAGATGGGAGAAGAGGTGGTGACCGTCGCTTAGTTTTGCGGCGTCGTTCAGCGGAAGCCTAAGGAAATCAATAAACTTGATCTGCCGGACATTGTTTAGTATGGAGAGAAAACAAAACATTGTTCAGTAACAAACTTTGATCCATGTCCCGCGGGTCTTTTTCCGCAGGGTCTTATTATAAACTGTTTTTTATATAAATTTCCAAAATTTTAAGAAAATTATTATTTTTAATTGGTCTTGTACAAAGCAAATCCATGAATTAGACTGAGTACAAAAAATTAAATTCTATATGGATTAAAAATTGGTTTTGAATTAAAACATTTTTTAATAAGTTTTTAAGTAAAATTAATTATGAATAGATTCTATGTCAAAACTAATATACCCACTAATAATTATTTAGAAATTTTGATATATTTTTTTTTCTAAAATTTCTCTTCATTCAGTTTAAACTAAAATTTTTGGATTCCTCAAAGCAAACCAAATTATTTTGATCACGTCCAGCAAAATTTATTCAATTTGATCTAATTTTTCTACTTGAATCGAATTATGAATACCGTTAGTCACCAAATCAGTATAACGTATTAATTATTTGTTAATAAACATAAACAATCTTTTATATTCAACAAAGAATTAAACTCAAACCCTATTAGAAAATGAGAAGAGAGAGCAGCATGATGAAAAAGAAAAATCACTCTCTGAGTTCTTTTTTTTACAGCCTAAGAGAATATATACAACTTTTGTTGTACAATGGCAGAAGAAAACAAAAACGGTTACAATTAACAAACTAATTTCAGCTAATCACTAATTAATCTTAATATCTTCTAATTAATCTTAATATTTTTCCTTAAGATGGAGAGTACAAATTTGTTGTACCCATCTTGTTCAATAAATTGTCGAACTGCGTAGGATGAAGCGCTTTTGTCATTAAATCTGCCATTTGATTCCGAGTGGATATATGCATCGTCTTCAAGGTACCATCTTGAATTCTTTCACGGACAAAATGACAATCAAGTTTAATATGTTTTGTTCTCTCATGATATACTGGATTTAAAGCAATGTGTAGAGCTACCTGATTATCACAGTAAAGTAATGCAGGACCTTGATGTTGCACCTTTAAATCTTGTAACAATTTCAGAATCCACACTATTTCACACGTAGTGTTGGCCATGGAACGATACTCAGCTTCTGCAGATGACCGAGATACAACTTGTTGTTTCTTTAATTTCCATGAGACTAATGAAGACCCAAGAAAAATACAATAACCAGTTAGAGATCTTCTAGTGTCAGGACATGTGCCCCAATCAGCATCAGAAAAAGTCTTAATTTGAATGACAGATGATGAAAGAAAGAAGAGACCCTGTCCAGGTGTTCTCTTGATATACTGGAGAATTTGCAAAACAGCTCGAAGGTGACTGGTCCTGGGAGCAGCAAGGAACTGACTCAGTTTATTGACAGAATAGCATATGTCAGGGCGAGTGATGGTTAAGTACAACAATTTTCCAATCAGGCGCCGATAACTTGTGATATCACATAGAAGTTCTCCACCATATTTAAACATCTTAATATTGGGTTCCATGGGAGTAGATGAGGGTTTACAACCAAGATATCCAGTTTCAGTTAACAGATCCAATGCATATTTTTTTTGGCATAAGGTGATTCCAGTGTTTTTTCTTGCGATTTCAAGTCTAAGAAAATATCGGAGAGTTTCCAAATCTTTCATTTTAAATTTTTGTTTGAGTGCAACTTTGAGTTCTTCGACAACATGATCATCATTACCAGCAATAACAATATCATCAACATACACCAACAATGCTAGGAAAACATTACCCTGATACTTGATAAATAAGGAGACATTGTGACTGATGGAAACCTTTTTGAAGTAATACTTGTGAAAACTTGTGAAACCACTGTCGGGAAGCCTGTCTCAACCCATAGATTGACTTGTGTAGTTGGCAAACAAGTTGAGGTGGAAGAGTCTCCCCCTCTCGAGGAGAATAGCTTGGAGGAATATCCATATAAACTTCTTTGTGAAGGTCACCATGAAGGAAAACATTGATGACGTCTAACTGAGTCAGACTCCAACCATGGATAGTAGCCAGTGAAAGCAAAATTTTGATAGTAACCAATTTTACAACAAGAGAGAAAATGTCAATGAAATCAATGCTAAATTGTTATGTGTAACCCTTAGCAACCAGACAGGCTTTGTGTCTCTCTACGGTCCCATCGGCTTGATATTTAACTTTATAAACCCACTTACAATCAACAGTTTTCTTCACAAGTGGAAGGAAAATAATAGACCAAGTATTATTATTTTCTAAGCACGTAGCTCTACATTTATAGCGTTCATCCAAACATCAAATTGGATAGCCTCAGAGAAGTTGGTAGGCTCAGTGTGGGAAGAAATGGCACAAATAAAGTTTTGATATTGAGGTGTAAGCTTTGTATAAGTAAGGAAGGAGGAAATGGGGTAAAGTGCATGTGTATCTATATGGTAACAGTGATAGTCAGACAAATAAGAAGGTAGTTGTGTTACACGTAGAGGGCGAGATAGTAGTGTTTGGGAAGACTCATGTTGTGATTGGGTAGTGTATCAAGAGAAGCTGGTGATTGTGTACGTGTATAAAGAGGAAGAGGTAAAACACGGTCATGAAAAAAGTCACTGTGAATGGGACTAGATGAGTGGGATAAAAGAAATGGAAAGATATGTTCATGAAAATTGACATTCCGAGAGATGATGATTTGATTGCTCTCGATGTCGAGAAGTTTATATCCTTTGTAACCCGAAGGGTAACCGAGGAAGACACAAGTCCTAGAACGAGGTGAGAATTTATGGTGATGACTAGCGAGAGTGGAGCAGTAACATAGACAACCAAAGGTATGCAAATGATCATAGGATAGTTTTTTGTGAGTTAATAATTCAAATGGAGTTTTATTAGATAACAAGGGGGAATGTGTACGGTTGATTAGGTAAACAGCAGTCAAGATGCAATCGCCCCACTAGACAATGGGGACATGGATTGAAATAATAAGGCACGTGCCACATTTAAAATGTGTTGATGTTTGCGTTCGACAACAGAGTTTTGTTGGGGAGTCTCAACACAAGAATGATAAGAAACAATGCCTTTTGACATGAAAAATGAATGAAAATTCGACTAATGCGCATTGTCAGATCTCACAAATTTAATGAGAGTTTTATATTGTGTAAGGATGAGAGTATAAAAATCAGGAAAAATAGTAAGAACATCTGACTTTTGATGAAGGAGATACACCCAAGTAGTACGAGTGCAATCATTAACAATTGTAAGAAAGTATTTGTATCCCTCGATAGTGGGTGTAGAAAAAGGACCCCAAATGTCGATATGGATTAAATCAAATGGACGGTCAGATAATTTATTGTTAGAAACAAAAGACAATTTACGTTGTTTAGCCAAATAACAAATTTTACAATGAGAAATATTTGAAGTCTGTAAATCTTTATTAATGTATTGAAATTTTACATAGGAAGGATGACTCATTCTAAAGTGTCATAGGCTATTTTCAGAGTTAGTGAAAACAAAATTAACAACAAAAAAATTAAAATATGTAGTAATTAAGTAGTAGAGGTTGCCAATGCGTCTACCCTTCCCAATCAACAAGTCCCGAGTGTGGTCCTGGATAACACAAGAATGAAGAGAAAAATTAACTGTACAGTTGTGGGTGGTGGTCAACATGCTTACACTGACAAGGTTAAAGGAAAAATGAGGGACAAATAGAATATCATGTAGAGTTAAGATGTCGGTGAGGAATATATTTCCAAGTTGAGTGACTAGCACTGAACTACCATTTGGTAAAGTGACTGGGATGGGTTCAACATATTTAAGATTTGTGAAAAGGGTGGGTGTGCAACATATGTGATGTGTGGCTCCAGAGTCAATAATTCAGCATTTAGAGGTAAGTGTGTATGTGCAACTGGAAAGACAGAAGGGTGTGGAGGATATACCTGCCGCGTGAAGATCAGAAGTGGTGTGATTGATGGGGTGAGAGAGGCTGTCTGGTGAGATGGTAGAGCTCGGTTAGTGGAGACGTACGCTTAGGTGGGCAATAATGTTTTGCATTTACGATGTGCTTAGAGCATCGACGGAGGCAGCGGAATCAAGTGTCAGTAAGCAGGCATCGACGGAGGTAGTGAAATTCTGCGCCTGTCGCTCAATCGGGTGCGTACCCGAGGAAGAAGAAGACCCGTGTTCTGGAAAAAACTCTTCATGGGCCAAGGCTTGGTGGGCAGAAGAAAAACCGGGCCTGGACTGAGGGCCAGTTGAATTAAGTGATCTGGTTCCAAGAGTGGGCCGAGACTGAGCTGAAGTGTTGCGGGCTTGGGCTTGGGCTTGGACGTGTCCATCATTAAAAACAGGTGAGTGCATTTTGGGCTTGGGCTTGAGGCTCAGTGGGTAGCCATACAGACGGTAACACTTGTCCACAGTGTGGCCCACAAGTCCATAGTGTGAACAGGTGGGTCGTCTCCTACCTTGAGTTAGGGCAACGGAAGAACCAGACCCTTGAGCTGTCTCTGCGCATGCGTCGAAGTCAATTGCACGGTGCCGTTCTTCTTGCACTACCAGCGAGAAAGCCTTCAAAATGGATGGAGAACATTCCATCATCAGAATTTAAGCCCTAACAGCAGCATAAGACGGATTTAATCCCATTAAAAAAGTCATGACAAACTCCTGCTCCTGATAATCATTCCATGCCTTCATGTTTCCACAATGACAGGTTGGAGCTGGTTGATAAGTTTTGAGTTTGTCCCAAATTGTTTTCATCCGCGTATAATAGGTGTTGATGCTGAGTGACCCTTGAGTAAGGTTGTTCATGCTCTGTTTCAGTTGGTAGATACACGGCGCATTACTCTGCTGATAACGAACCCGCAAATTGGTCCAGATAGATTGTGCACTTTCATGGTATAACAAGCTATCAGCTATCTCCTTTGTTACAACATTCAACAACCAAGAAGTTACCAAGTTATTACAACGTGACCAAGCTGCGGCAGTGGAGTCAGTGTTGCTCGGTTGATCGTAGGTTCCGTCTATGAAACCCAATTTATTTTTGGCATTCAATGCTATTCTGACTGCTCTCTCCCATGTGTTGTAATTGTTGCCATTGAGAATGTTGGATACCAAGACTAAACCGAGATGGTCGGCACTGTGAAGGAAGAACGATTTTTGGTGGTCATCTGATTGCTCTCTAGCAATTGAAGATTAAATTTTGAAACTCAATCACTGAGCTAAGAATGTTTGATCAATTAATCTGCTCTGATACCATGTTAAAAAAGGAGAAGAGAGAGCAGCATGATGAAAAAGAAAAATCACTCTCTAAGTTCTTTTCTTTATAGCCTAAGAGAATATATACAGCTTTTGTTGTACAATGGCAGAAGAAAACAAAAAACGGTTACAATGAACAAACTAATTTCAGCTAATCACTAATTAATCTTAATATCTTCTAATTAATCTTAATATACCCAAAAAAATTTATTTTACTAAAAGAACTAAAGTTAAAAGTATCTCTTGTGTTTGGTTGATAAGTTTGCTTTGCTTAAATTTAACAAATAAATTTTTTTTTTTATAAAAACTAATCGTAACTTATATATATATGTTTTTTTTTATATCAAAATTTTAATTATATTATAATTATTTTAATTAAAAAAATTTAATCGCATGTAATATTATTTTATTAAAAAATACCATAATTTATTAAAAAAATATTAATTTAATTACTATAAATTCACCGACGTATAAATAAATTAAGTTCTAAATTTTATTAAATCAAATATTATAAATCAACTACTAACATTTTATAAAACACTTATAAAATAATTAATTTTATTTTATTAAGTTTATTATCTTTAAATAAAAGTACAAAAATTTTAATCATAACTTATATATTTGGTACACAAAAAATTAGTTCTACTCAATATCTCTAGTATTATAATAATAAAATTATGTTGCCATATTTAAGAAATGAAGCAAAAAAAAAAAAAAAAATTTAACTTACATTATACATGAAATTGACTTAAAATTAAACTATTATTTTTATTTAAATGTATATTACATTTTTTTTTATTTTATATAAATTCCAATTCCATTCAAATAAAACTTAAAATAAACCCAACCTAATTCAAAACTTTATGAGCTTGTTCATTTATTTAAAATATATAATGTAATATAATAGGCAACACATTTTTAAAAAGTTAAAATATAAAAATTTTTATATACGTTTAGACTTTTTCTAAATATTTTTATATTCCAATACAATTTAAATGCGACTGCTTGTTATTTTAATATATTAATAGTAGTGTGTGTGACATGTACTTATAATATGCATTTTTATTTCTATTAATTTATTCAAAAAATAAATATTAAAAAACTAAATAAAAAATTAAAATTAACAAATAAAACTGTCTATTTCTTTTTATGTTCTGTAATTTGTACTCTCTCTCTCTCTCTCTTCATCCAAGCAACAAAGTTAAAACATTAATCAGTGCCTCTGTAGCTCCACCATAGGAAGAGTAGGGAAACATATGTTGAAGACGACGACGACGACGACCTTGGGCACTGTTCATTTTGGACAACGGCATTATTACATACACCAATTAAAGAAGCAAAATCAGGGAAGTCAACTACAAATGCTCTCAATCCCTAACATTACTCCAATAGATTTGCAAAAAAATGTCTCTTCCTCTCTCTCTCTCTCTCTCTCTATATATATATATATATATATATACAACCTTCTTCGCCTTGTTCTTAGTTTTTTTAGTCTTTACCTTTGTTTATACGTATACCTTGCAAGTAATATACACTTTTGATAATATTAAGTGTACAAATTTGATTAAAATTTAATTGATTTAGAATTGGTAATCTTACACAAACACATACACCAACTCCCAAATGGAACCCATTCTTATATATATACATATACACATACGTATATATATATATATATATATTATCATTTTGCATAATATGTTTTGGAACTATTTTACAATATTCTCTTTTTTAATCTATAAAAAGATTGTCTACTTGTGACCGATAATAGAAATTTAGTTCTTTTATTTCGGCACAAAATTGATACTCAGTACTGGATGATTTCACCTTGATATCTAGATTTTTTAATAATTTAAATATTTTTTTTAAAAAATTCGTTTCTTCGGACATGACTTTCATTCATTCATTGATTTATTTATTTATTTATTTTTTCTTCTCTCAGTGAGTTTGAATTCTTAAAAGCTTTCTAAACTCTCCTCCCTCTTTTTGCAGTAAGTAACATAGTCAAAGCTATGATGTCTAGTAAATGATTTCCACCTGGATGATGATGTTGGAGATACCAAAAGAGGTGATGGGACCGCATAACTCATTCTTCTTGTTTCTATTGAGGAGGTTATTGAGCTTGATCGTCAGAAATGCATCAAACACCAAGGAAGTCATTAGAGTTGATGGACAAGTTTTTTTTAACTTTTGGTAGTCCTTATCAGGGGATGAAGACGTGCAAAGTGAGAGAAATTTTTTTAGTCAAAACAGGTCTTGCCATTGGAGTCGTCAAATTAAACAATGTTGATGCAATTAGGACCACACCCATATCGGAGGAAGGCGAGGCTCAAGATGAAGAAAGAGTGCTGAGTAAAAGAAGACTTTAAAATTAAACAAATGTTTTTGTCTCTTCTTTCTTTTTTTTTTTTTTAGTTTTTAGCATTTAATTTTCACTTTTTTTTTTTTTTTTTTTTTTTAATGTTGATTGAAAGGCTCATTCAAAGAAATTTCAAAACTTTTAAATCTCATAAAAAAATACAAAAGACTTGTCACGTTGCAAAATTTATGAAACTCTTGTATTAATATGAAAAGGAAGTTTTTATACAGCTTTCTCAAGCTAAAGACAAGTTTGTACTTGTAAGATGTTTACTCAATTTTATTGTTGAACCAACCAAATTCAATTTAAATTAAAATAACGAAATGGAAACTTAAAAATAAAATTCATCTTGGAAATCTCCACAAACATTGTTGACGTTGTAAATTGATTTGTAAGTGACTCCAAAAGGCACTCACGATTCTTGAAATCATGAAGAACTACAAACCAACTGCCCTATTCGGCAACAATAAACTTTACCAAATCACATGAAATGAACCAGATCATACTCTGAAATTCAATACACACATATATATATATACGTATATACACAGTATACAATCCTGCATGCACGCAATTAAAGTTAAAAACCAGGAGCAACTGTCATCACCGTAACGTTTCTTCAAATCTTTAATTGCTGAAAGTTGTGGGTATATCCATTAAAAAAAAAAAAAAAAAAAAAGTTGCCAAATTATGAAAAATGAAACTGAAACAATTTTAGTCTCATTTACACTCCAAGACAATCCGTGAAGAACTCCGCCTCACCTCAAGATATATAATTACATTCTCCCGCAGCACCATGAGCCAATCCATGTCTGACCCATCATTGGCTGCTCATCAAGGGAAGTTGGTACAGGGCAAAACCATGATTCCAGTGATAGATAAAGCTCACATGAATCAGATATTCAATAAACCTATTATTCTTTTCTTTTAAACAACAATTCCATGAATTTAAGCTATCAAATATGTCAACTACGTTGACCTTTATTTGCGGCGCCGGGTGGTGACCAATTCTGGGTTGCCTTTTCTCATCATAGCTACAAATTCCTCATAGTTAATTCTTCCATCCTACAAAAGAGGTTTGAAGATGAAATTGATATGGCAAATAGAAAAGGGACTATTAGCCCGTTTAGCTGAGAGAAATCAAATGCATCAATGATGAAACATTTGGTTGCACAGAAGGATGAGGCCTTTACAGTGTATCATTCAGTTGAACTAAGATATCAAACATACCTTCAGTAGGTATCGTTCTTAATTATGTGGACATAGATTAGCCAAAATGGCAAACAAAAATGCATATCGTGGAATTTTTTAGTTGCCGACATGGATCAGATATGGAAATGCGATTGAAAACCAAGTGCAGACACTAATTCCCTAGAATGTAGGAAGACAACATCAATAAGAACAATGATAAAAACCCATCGGATATAAACATCGAAAGCAACAAAACAACCTCTGGATAAAGAAGAATGAGACACATACATTATCAGTGTCTACTTCCGCAATAATCTCTTTTATTGTTTTCTCGTCGCCCATATTATACTTCTTCAATGCTTGCTCCAATTCTTCCTTCGTAATATATCTAAATATGTAGAGGGAAGATCACAGAAACAAGACAAAATACTCAGAAAATTACCATATGACAGATCAGAAGTTGCTGCAGCAACATAATAGTAATTGGCAAGAAGAATTACCCGCTATTGTCCTTGTCAAAATACTGAAAGGCCGTGAATAAGTGGTCCTCTCTTTCCATTCTATTCATGTGCATAGTGGCTGTTATAAACTCGATGTAATCAATTGTTCCATTTCCATCCACATCGGCCTTGAAAAACAAGAAACACCGTCACTTTAATGGAATAATGAAATAACGAAATAAAATAGTTGTAGACCCCATGTTAAAGATTATCAGGATTATGCACTAACATTTATATTGTTCATCAACTGTTTCTGTACCTTTCCTCAATGAATAACTGAAATTTAAATAGAATAGATTAAATGGACACTTGAGATTACCGCTTCCATTAATTGCCTCACTTCAGCCTCAGAAAGCTTGGTACCCAGTTTTGGAAGACCAGCTTTCAACTCCTCGTAGGTGATTGTTCCATTGTTATCAGTGTCCATGGATTTGAACATTTCCTTCAACCCCATAATTTCTTCTTCAGAAAGGTTTTCTGCAATAACCTGAAAGGAGAAACAAAAACTATAGCATTACATATGAAATTCTAAGACTTGATGACAACAGTGCCATCATCTTCCATGCAGACAATGATTTCTTCTTAATGCTCAGGCCTCTAGGGATATTAGCAAATACATCCGACAGATAAACGAAAGTTAGGAGGTGCACTACTGCTGCGTTATTAGGTTTACCGATGAAAAGGATTATTTTTTGTTAAAAATAGGGGGCCTGACATCTTGTTGCTCATCGAGACAGGCTGAACTCTTTGAAGATCGTTTTTCAAAAGTTGCCCTTATTCCTTTTAGCCATTGGCTCTTAAAAGTTGTCCCTACATCTTATCATTCAAACCTTTTGGTTTTCTATTGAATAGCTGGTGAGAATGCTAATGGAACGATCCAGAGAAAAGATGTTCACCTTTAGAGCTACTTTTTTGAGTTTGTTCATTGCCCTGAACTGTTTCATTCTACTCAAAACAGCAATATCAAGAGGCTTATCCGATGCATCACCATCTTCTCTCATCCACGGGTGATCTGCATGGCATTTTTCATGGAACCTTATTAAATAATCTTAACAAAGAATAACAAAAAGCACATAAAGATGTGTGCATATACTGGGAAAAGAAGTCATATGAATCAATCTAACCGGTTCTCAATCCTCAACCATTTTGTTAATAAAAAATCTCATAACCAGATACTAAAGTCAATCATATTTCACTAGTACATCTTTGATCATATGTTTACAACCAGTAAATCCTATTAGACTGAGCTTCATTAACCACTTATGCTTGTCCCAACAAATATGAAATGCTTGAGCATTAGATTGGGTGAAACTATACAGATATAATATTAATAATAAAAAATGTAATAGCTCATCCCAAGTCCAGAACTATGTAGACCTGCTGATCTCAAACAAAATCAATCCATAATTTCCCATTCCAATCATTTTTGTGGCTTACCCGAGGGTCCCGGACCTATGTATTCCAGTTCCAACAAAATAAAACTTACTTAGGATTTCAACTGCTGAAAGTCGTTCTCTAGTATCAGCACATAGCATCCTCTTCACAAGATCTTTGGCACTACTGGATATGGAAGGCCAAGGATCGGATGAGAAATCAATATGGCCCCGAAGAATAGCATCAAAAATACCTTGTTCATTCTCTGCACATGGAAAATAATAGAAATGTTTTATTAAGAAAAGGTGAGGATTCATTACTAATCCATAGAGATGACCAATTTAATAGGACTGTGAGGCACTCCACAAGTACTGCAATGCTTCTCTTTAAGAATATATAGTATCCAGTATCACTATGGTAGAGTTTTTGGCTAATTCTTACGAAGACAAAACCCATACCTCCCCAAAATGGTGGAATCCCACTAAGAAGAATGTAAAGTATCACCCCAGCACTCCAGATATCAGCCTCGGGTCCATAATTTCGCCGCAGCACTTCGGGAGCAACATAGTATGCACTTCCAACAAGGTCCCTAAAGACATCTCCTGCACTAACAAATGATTTGTTTAGTTCAATTCTATCACTGGTAAGCTCTCAAGATCAAATATCTAAAAAAAAAAAATGTGATTCCATCAAAAACTGAAAGCAACAGTAATGGAAAAATTTGTTGATAACTTGCTGTGAGAAGCTTTATTGATAAGCAGATACAGCATATTTTATCATCAACAGAAGTACCAAGTTCATTTTTTTGTAAATAAAGCATGGTCCCTGCAACGACAAGGCAGACAGTCTTCCCTCCTTTTTTCTTTTCTTTTTCCATTTTCTCTTCTCTATGTAAATTCATTCTGCTTCTACCCATACTATCACATAGTAGCAGAATGTTACAAAAACAGAGAATCTACAAGCATTATATGTCAAAAGGTTGCCAACTATAGAATCTCTAACATCAAAGACACTGGATTCCATGTATAAACATAACCATACATAGTTAGAAAAGTACGATCCAAGTTTGAACCAATACCTATCCTATATATACTGCCTCTGCTCGATTGAAACAATTTCTTGCATTCTTTTATTAGCAACAGATAAATCATTTTCAACGAAGCAAAACAGACCCAGATGAAAAAAAAAAAAAAAGACAATCACCTTTCTTGAAAAAGACAGAGAGTCCGAAATCGGTAGCTTTCAAGGGAGAATCCTCGTTCTTGCTCAAGAAGAGAAAATTCTCAGGCTTCAAGTCTCTATGCATCACTCCCATAGAGTGACAGTTGTGTACAACAGTCATGATCTGTCTACACAGATTCGCGGCGGCTCTTTCCGAGTAATGCCCCTTGGCTATGATCCGATCGAACAGTTCTCCTCCCTCGCACAGCTCCATCACCAAATTCACCGAGTGCCTGTCCTCGTATGCCCCCTTCAACTCCACTATATTCCTATCACAAATAGAATTTCAAGTGTTATTATTACAAAATAAGAATATACAACATACATGTTGAAAATAGAACAAATCATTCGTGGGTTACCGGTGGCCGGTAAGGTGGTGCATTATCTGAACCTCCCGACGGACATCTTCGATGTCGTCACGGTGGATTAGCCTCCGGGTGGCGATTGACTTGCAAGCAAACTTCTCCTTGGTTTCCTTGTGAGTGATGAGGTACGTCACACCGAACTGCCCGCGCCCGAGCTCCCGGCCGAAGATGTAGGTGGAGCGTACATCCTCCATAGGTCGGCCCAGCACGCGGCCGATTGGTGGAGTTGCAGCGACGCCAGATGCGCATACGCCGGAAAGTCGGCTGTTTCCGGCGGCGGTATGATTGTAGCCGTAGGACGGTTGAGTGGGGGACTTGGAAGCAGCGGGCCCGGAAGCGGCGGTGGTAGTGTCGGAGGGAATCTGGGTACGGTTAGACGGCATGCCATTGCAGTTACCCATTTTGGTCAACGGAAGTAGAGCAGATGAGAGAGAAAAAGAGAGTTACATAAACGAGATTTCCACAAGACTCGTGTCTGAAACCGCGGGGCGCTGAGGAAGGAGGTGTTTAAAATTACCAAAATGGGCTTAGTGGATTGAGTTATTAACTGTTGCGGCCGCCCTAACTTCGGCGAGTTCGAGGATGTTGCATTTTTTTTTTCCTTTTCTTTCTATTTTCGGAAATATATTTAAATTTGATTAGAAAATTAAGAGCATGATGAGTTAAAAATTAAAGACCAAAAAACTTTTTTGAAGATGTTTTCAGAAAATTTTATTGGTCTTTAATTTTCTATTTTTAGAGTATTTACAAGTCTTCTAAATAATATTTTTATTACCAAACAAAAAGGCCAGATTATTATTTACTATTTTTTAAAAAATTAACCTATATTTCTTAAAATACACAGCTTTATATAAAAAATTATTTTATTTGATATAAAAATATAACAAAGTAATACAAAGTAAAAAATTATTTTACTATGTACCTTTCAAATAATACAAAGTGGTAGTAATAATAATAATAATAATAACAATCTTAAATATATTATGAATAAGAACATATAAATAATAATTACATGATTAATAAAAAAATAATTTAATCATAAAAAAATAATTTAATAATCAAAATTCAACCAATCAAATTTTTATGAAAATAAAAATTTAAAAAAATTACATTCTCGTTGTTATAATGAAATTGTCAATTTTTTTTTTAATTTAATATAACTGACAACTTATAAGTTAGAGAGTTATTAAACGTGCAAATAAATTAATATAACTTACGATATTCTGTTTAACAAAATATAAAATTTTAAAAAATTATGTTTATGATTTTTTTTAATTAAAGATAATATGTAACAGTTCAGAACTTAAAAAGAAATAAATTATAAATTGAATGCGGATGTGAAATAATAAAGTTAGAGTTTACATTCCTTACACAATAATTTAGAATATTCAATAGGATTACGAGAATGATCATTCTAAAAGAATAAACGAAATATCAAAGAAATAAATGAAAAACAAACAACTAAGCATCCTATTCGCAACCCTCTTATGGATCGGAATCTGAATCTTAGTCCACTTGATCTGAAATGGTTAATGAAAGATTGAGCTACACTAGTTCAGTAAGAATGACACACTAATCAGCGATACATAAACGAAAGTTAGTAAATATCATAAAAACAACTAATGAAACTCTTAATATAGATAAATTCATTTATCATAAATAAAATAATTTATTATATACTTACTGTAGCGAGATTTTCAAAACTGACCTATAGAGATAATAACACAAATAACATCATAATCTCATATTTAATTAATCAGAACAACAATTTTTCTTTTTTATCTACTTATTAGTATTCATGGGGGTCAATGGGGATGTCCCACTACGCATGAACTCTTATTCTATAACGGCCTTGGAAATTTAAAAGGAAATGTATATATTTATCATAAGTGCGGAAACGAAATAAAATAGATTATGATTAGCATCCTTTATGCAATAATCAAAACGTATTAAAGATATGAAAGAATAAACTAACTGAAGAAAATACTATGAATGAATACTATAAGGAAAACTAATAAATCTTTAGACTTCTATTCGCCGTCTTCCTGCGGAACAGGCTCGGGAACTAAGTCCTCCTGATCTGAAATGGTTAAGTAAGGAATGAGTTACACTGACCTAGTAAAGATATCACACTATCTCACTGTCACAATAGTAAAGGTTGGTAGAAAATAAAAACGACTAATGGAGCATAATTCATAACAAATTCATTTATCAATAATAAAACCCTTTATGGTCTACTTACCTCGGTGAGATTCATGAAAACAACTTATGAAAATAATAATATTATAAACATCATAAAATCATGCACACTCTGTAACATAACACATATCATACTTTTGTATATCAATCAATCATCAGGCAAC